GAGGGGGGGGGGGAGGCGGCGGGGCTTGGCAGAGTCTACTGCGCATGCGCAGTTCGCAGGCTGAGACGGATCCAGCAGCCGCTCGGCCGTTCCGTTTCCGCTGCTTCGCTTACCCGAAATACCCTATTCTGTGACATAAAGCCTTTTTTACGATTTCATAGACCATATTTGTCTTTTCCACGATGTTTTCGCCAAGAAATGCGCTATAGCGTCAAAACGGTACAAGATAAGGCAAAACGGACCAAATTTTCGCCCAAGGGTTCTACTTTCACGAGTTACCCCTTAGGAGACCATAAAAAAATATTTGAAAAAAAGAACATTTTGCGACCTGTGGTTTTTGATTTTTTTAAAAGTCAATTTTTGAGCTACAATGCTCATCTTTGAACTCGATCTGTCTTTTTATGGTACAAAACGACCCTGAAAATCCCAGGTCGCTCTCTCAATCCTTTCTCGAGTTATCGTGCGGACAGACGGACAAACAAACAGACAAATAGACAAACAAACAGAATGAAACTTTTCCGGTCAGTGGAGTTATGGGCTTCGCTAATCGCTCAGCCAACCAGAATTTTAAAAAGGTTTATGATGATGCGGCTCCCCTTTTCCAACTTGAACATAAGCCAAGTTTAGCTATTAAGAATAATGGCCTTCACATACCGGGCAGTGGGGACTATCTTCTTAGATACATCCTTCCATATTACCCATTATGGTCCAGGTATGTTCAGAGTATGGTACTCCCCCCTGATGTAAAAAACCCATTGAGTAATTCTGCAGTCGAACTTAGATTTAAGTTGCTCAAAGAGGAGACCTGGCTAAGGAGGAAGTATTCAAAAGCAAACAGATATGTTAGAAGAAATATTGAAGATGCTCGAGAAAGAATACTGAGTTACAACTTTCCTGCAAACTTCAAGAAGTATACACCTCGGAAGAGAAAATTAGATGGGCCAGATAATGAGTTCGATGACCCTGATGACCCCCTGCCTAAAACTAAGAAGAAGAGAAAGAGTAAAAACAATGATTTTGCCACCAAAAAGACGTGTTCGGAATCTTGGAAGCGTAAGTCACGGCGAGTTAAAGGAGGCTTCTATTCAGCTGCAAGAACTCAGCGTTATGCCGCCAGGCTTCCAGACACAGCAAAGCGCGTTGCCCACAGCAATTCAAAGAAATTGATCCCACCTGCGCAGAAAGTGAAAGGAAAGGTCAAGGTGAGGGGATAATATTGACAGATTAGCTTCAAATAAGTGCTTGTTCTGTGCCTGCTAAAGAGTGTACTTCTTTTATTTATGTAACAGAAGCGGGAACATGATGCTGATGAGTGGATAATTGTGGAAACATCTGCTAAGGACAACGCTGAAGAAACTCCTAAGAAAATTAATTTGAGTGAGTGTGGGCCTATTATGTTTAGGCTATATTTACCTGAGTATTGGAAGACTTTATAAACACAAGAACCACGACTTATTTTCAATAGTCACAATATCCGGGCAAAAAATGTATGGATACTTAACCATTTATTCTAGATCGTGCCTAGGCAAAGTGTTTCTTATGAAATAAAGTTGTGTAATATACTCAGGTAGATTAGTAGTATAAATATTATCATCTTGGCATACACATCATCGCTCCTGTAGCTGGGTATTGTGCATGTGTGTCCTTTAACTAACCATCACCTTCCACATCAATATTGAATCTTTTGCATTTTCAGTTGTGAAAGTACAATACTGGTTATACTCAAAAACGTGTAAGGTAGGAAATGTAGTTTCAGAAGGAATCATGGAATCAATTTAAGACTTGTGTTACATTTTTGACTTTGACTGGTGTTTTATTTTCATTTGCTCCATGGATGGTGAGAAGTTTTCCTGCGACCACAGTAGGTCTATGCTATGGTGAGTACTGTGTCTGTGTTATGCAAATGCCATAACTGATCATACTTCTCTGCTGAAATATGTTTTTGTGCATGGTTATATGTATTGGCATTATTAGTTTGCGTAGATGGGCTTTGTCATGCTCTATAAGTTGTACGGTGCTTTTAAAATTTGATGTTTAGTCTTATTTTCATTGTGCTGTGTTTATCCTCTTTGTTAAAAATTCACACACATACACCTATTTTTCCTGAATAATTGCATTGTAAATTTTGCAGTTTTTCGTATGCAGCAGCGTAGCAACTTTAATTATTTTCATTTGAAATGAAGCAAAAAAACAACTTAATTTTGTGCTAAATTTCTTGGAATTAACTTCTTTGTGTGTTTATAGTGTCATATGAGTAAATAGTCACACTACATTATTTAACCTTACAGATAGGTGCAAGGATTGTTCCAAGGAGGGTGGCATCCTTCAAATTTGTATACTCTGCCGAGGTTTTGTGCACTTATCATGTGCTGTTGTCAAAGAGAACAAATTCAAATGCTTTGAATGTCTCTTGAAATCCGGTGAGTAACACTTAAGGACATATGGGGGCAACAGAATTTTAATCTAATGTAATTATGGCTGTCACCGTAAGAGAAATAACGGATAACAACAAACAGATCACAGATCCATTTCAGGAAGGTTATTTATGCTGTTAGGTCTTAGTTTATGCCATTAAAGTAGCATATTATATTGCCAAATATATTGACTGAAACATTTTCAAAATGACAGGAGGCAGACAACCGCTACAAGATAGATCTTTCATCTGTTATTTCTCTTAAGGCGTGGTATACACAAAAATAAAAATTGGTATGGCACCTTCTAGAAAAAAGGTACTTATATTTCCTCTTTTAGGATCTGAAGCAGAAAATCCAGCAGAAGGATCAGGGGACGATGGAGGCCACTCACAGCAGGAGCACCAGGGCAAATCAACCAGAAGTGAGTGTGTACTCTGTATTTTGTATTTGAATTTCAAAGCTATTGTACAAAGTGCAGAACCTTATTTACAACTAGCATATTTATATTCATGAGTCTCAACTTCTAACAACATTCTTCTTCCTCCATACATCATTTTAGACATTGTCTTAATATTTCTTAGTGAAGTGTTGAATAAATTTCAAAATATTTGAGAGTTTGAATATGTATAATTTTTTTTTCATATATTCCAATTGTACTATTCTTTAATAATTATTGTGTTATTATGATAATAACATATTTCCACTTCACTGAACAATGTCTTCAATTGTGTTACAGCTGTTTATCCATGGGAGGGTGAGAGTAGTGCACCAATCATCAACTTCGCCCCTGGTGGACAGAAGTTCACTTATAAGAAATGTACAATCAACCCTCAAGATTGGTTATCATTGTCACCATCTACCTACTTGAATGATTCAATCATTGATATCTTCCTAAAGATAGTAACTTCAGATGAGTTGATTGCCAAAGATGCTTCTGTAAAGTTAGCAAGTTGTCTAGCCCTTGAAAATATTTCTATGGGCCTAGTTGGTCTTTTCTCCCGAGTCAAGAAGGACAACTGGATTTTAAGTGATATATGGATTATCCCTACTCACATCAGGAGGATTCACTGGATCTTATTGCTAGTTTTAATTAAACAAAAGAAAATTGTGATCCTCAATTCTATGCCTTCTGATACTCCTTCCCATGAAGAGCTCGAGCAACTCCAAGTACGTACGCACTCTATTGATAGCATAGAGCATATAGCCCATGGTTGCGTAGTGAACCTTATTTTGTTATTTTATGTTAACAGATTACAAGATATATGTTGGCAATCAGCCACCTAGAAACCTTTGGAGCCGAAATCAGTTGGGCCGACTGGACTTATCAATTACCTTGCGACATGGACAATCAATCTAATGGCTTTGATTGTGGGATTTGTGTCTGCCTCTGGGTCTGGGGCCTTTGCACTGCCACAACTCCTCCCTCTCCCACACAAATCTGTGGCTTGTCCGAAAAGATCAGAAAATGGATGAGGAAATTCATTTTTTCTAAGGCAGAGAAAGCCGGGTGAGTATTGAATGTACAAAAGAGAGAGCCGCAGTACCTTAATATTACAAAAATAACGGCTTCTGCATAAGTTAGACAGCATTGATCAAAGCCCATATGAAGAGGATTCTTTTCTGTTAAAAATAAAAACGTTAATCATAAATATTTTGTTTTGTAATTTGCAGAGTTAACCCACCAGCTGCTCCACCACTTCCTGTACCTGCTCCTCATAAAGATGATCTGGCATGGAAGATGTACGCCGACTTCGACAAGAAAGTGGCCTCTGGAGAGCTGGTAATTGAAAAGCCATGGACGACACTACAATCTCCTCCAGTGTTCACCCATGGCTGGGAGTACAAGGAGATTGGTAGTGTCCTCACCACCCTCTGGAGAGCCACAGAAATGTCCTGTGGAGCACTGCCAAAATGTCTTGGAGTGAAAACGGACATGTTCCATTGTGAAGGATGCCGAGAGTAGTGTTTTCGATCGGGCGGGTTAACGCATTCCAGCTAGCCCGACGCGTAATGGCGTTCTTACCCGACCCGACCCGCCCGACAAAGTGAGTCGGGCGAGTCGGGCAAAGATTTTACCCGACAGAGAGACAGCTTCCAAATCACCGGCCCCGGCTGTCCTGCCGCCCGGTCAAGCTCACAACCGTGGCCAGGATCGACCAGCAAGGGCGAGGGGTGAGGTTTCGGCAACCGGAGGCGCCCAGTGAGGCTCGGCAGCCGATGTAAGTGTCGGGCGAGCCTTACCCGACCTCATCGTGGTACGTGAGCGATGAGACAGTTGCCAGCCACACAGTTCTATCTCCTCTTGTGTCGGGCAAGCGCCGATCTCATACCCGCCCAATCGAAAACACTAGCCGAGAGTACTTCCACCTCCGATGCATAGGCGACAGCCGAAAAGCACCAAGTGAAGAGGTGATGTACTTATGTCCCCAGCATTCTTCAGGTAATAAAACAATTTGTACCTTGTAGCCCTGTACAAAACTCCTTCACCATGTATATTTGACTATCTTTCTCATTTTTTTTTGAACAGAAAAAACCAAGACTCGTAAGGTCCAAAGGCCACTGCGCCTTCGCAAGTCCCTCGATTAGTCTCAAGTGACTTAATTATTTGTTTACAATTGTTTGTTTATAGTCCTGGACTTAGTTGACCAATATGTTTTTCTTTGTAAAAGTGTTTCTGGGTTTCGTGAAAACCATTTTAAACCATGACCATTGTTTTGATTACTATCGTGGTAAGATTGACCTGTCCCTTG